ATGACGCAGAGAAAAGAGAAAATACTCTGCGTGCAAGAAGTAAGGTGGAGGGGCGGCAGAGTAAGGGAGATCGGAGGTTATAAGCTGTACCACTCCGGAAGCAGAACGGGAAGAAACAGCGTGGGTATCATCCTCGATGAAGAGCTCAAGCAAAGGGTGGTGGAAGTCCAATGGCCCTCAGACAGGTTGATGCCAATTAAGGTGCTATCAGGAAAGAGTCTGATCAACATCATGAGTGGTTACGCTCCACAGATTGGCTGTGAAGATCAAGAGAAGGAAAAGTTCAGAGAACAATTTGAACAGAGTGTTAGAGAGATCCCTGAGGAAGAAGAAATCATCCTAGGATCTGATCTGAACTGTCATGTAGGAGAAACAGGAGGTTATAAAGCATGTCATGGCGGTTTTGGATACGGCCTGAAAAACGAGGAAGGAGAGACAATGCTAGAGACATTGGAAAGCTTGGAACTGGTCTTGGTAAACACCGGATTCAAGAAGAGAGATGAACATCTAACAACATACTGAAGTGGAGATAGCAGTTCCCAGATCGACTTCCTAGTGGTGAGGAAGAGAACCCGTAAAAACATGAGAGATGCAAAAGTGATCCCAGGTGAGGCAGTTGCTCACCAGCACAGACTGCTGGTCATGGATAGGACGTTCTCTAGGAAAAGGAAAGGAGAAACAACAGGAAAGAAGCTGCAGAAGATCAAGGTGTGGAAACTACGGGAATGTGCAGGAGAATACAGAAGGCAAGTGGGAAAGAGACTGAAGAGATTGAAGAGAGATAGCAACCGAAATGTAGAAGGCCTTGAAGGAATCAATGTTGGAAGTGGCAGAAAAGCTGTGTGAAAGAACAAGTGAGAGAGGAGCAGGAGAACGAGAAACATGGTGGTGGACGGAACAAGTGCGGGAGAAGATCAAGGAAAAGAAGAGAACTTTCAAGGAGTGGCAGAATGACAAGAAAAGGAGCCAGTACAAAGTGGCAAAGAGAGAGACAATAAGGGACGTGGCAGTAGCCAAAGAGGATGCAGTTCGAGACTGGTACACAGAGATGGAAACACAAGAGGGAGAAAAGAGAATTTATAAAGTGGCCAAGCAACGTGCAAGAGCAAAGAGAGACATCCCAAAAGTGACTGTGGTGAAGAGCGAGGACGGACGGATTCTGGCAGAGAAGAAAGATGTGCTAAGGAGATGGAGAGAATATTTTGAACACCTGTTGAATGTAGAGAACGAATGGGAAGAGCTAACAGAACTACCGGTAGTGGAAGGTCCGATACAGCAAGTAAGCCTGCAGGAAGTGTCAGCCATCCTCAAGAAGATGAAGAAGAACAAGTCAGCAGGCACATCTGAGGTGGTGGTAGAGATGTTGGATGCCTTGGGGAGTGAAGGTGCGATGTGGACCCATGAGATCTTTAAAAAGATTTGGAATGGAGAAAACATCCCAGAAGATTGGAGGACAAGTATACTAGTGCCAGGGTATAAACAGAAAGGTGATGTATTAAAATGTGGGAACCACCATGGTATCAAGCTCTTGGAACACCTCTTGAAAGTTGAGGAAAAGATTCTGGACCAGAAGATCCGAGAAGTGGTGGATATAGGAAACTTTAGACCGGGGAAAGGCACGACTGATGCTGTATTTATACTCAGGCAGCTCCAAGAGAAACATCTGGAAGGCGACAAGGACCTATACCATGCCTTTGTTGACTTGGAAAAAGCATATGATAGAGTTCCAGAGTACCTTTTTAACATCGTGAAGGATACCTACGAAAGTGTAACCACAATGGTCAGAACGCCACAAGGAACATCGGAAGAATTTGAAGGGAAAGTCGGCCTTCACCAAGGATCAAGCCTGAGTACACTCCAGTTCATCATAGTTATCGACGTGGTGAGCGATTAGTGTGGAGGAGGATTGCTCTGGGAAATGTTCGCCGACGACTTGGTCATTTCATCGACGAGTGAAAAGAACTTGGATGCACAGCTCAGGAAGTGGAAGAAGGCACTCGAGGGTCGAGGGCTAAAAGTGAACTTGAAGAAGACTGTCGTCAGGAGAAGCAGCGAAGAAGCAAGAAGAAAGATAAACATCAAAGAAGAGAGCTGCGCAAATATGACCAAGTTGACGAATTCAAGTATCTCGGCAGCACGATGGCAAGTGAAGGATGTGAGAGAGCAGTGAAAGACCATGTGAAGGCAGCGTGGGCCAAGTGGTGAGATGTGTGACAAAAAGTTACCAGCCAAGCTGAAGGCGAAAATGTACAAAACTGTGATAAGACCTGTGTTATTGTATGGAGCTGAAATTTGGGCCTTAAGAAAGAAAGAAGAGAGCCTGCTGCAGAGAACGGAAATGAAAATGCTGAGGTGGATGTTGGGAATCAGTCTAAGAAAGCAGAGAACAAACGAAGAGGTGTTAGCTGAAGCAGGAGTCACAAACATTAGAAGCAAGATCGAAGAGGCAAGACTCACATGGTTCGGCCATGTGAAAAGAAGGCATGAGGAAGAAGGCATA